CCGTTTTCTTTCATCTGAATAGCAGAAGCAATTTCCGACAAACGGCAGCCCTGCTGTGTTTTACAGAACGCTCTGATTGGTTATCGCCCTCGCGTTGTGACTGGCTACAAGATCATGACGTCAAAAAAACATTTTCTTTGTTAAATGTGATACATACATAGGATATCAGTAACAATTAATTACCTTTTCACAATTATTATGCATATATATAGTATGGAATATTGTACAGTAGATTCTTTAAACAACTTTGAAATCGGGTGGAGTTGTATTATATTAAATATAAGAGATAAAAGAGTTCAAGAAGTAGAACATGGAGTGATACCACTGGTGAATATCATAGAAAATGCACTGTTTAAAAGGATAACTATTATAATATATATAATTTTAAAATGTCTGATAAAATAACAACAAATACAGAACTAACAGTAAAGGGCTCACCGAAAGTCGATGTATAACGGCGTGTAGATGCTTTTGACAAAGGCTCTACAGTGAAAGTCATATGAAAGGCACTGAACTCAAGGCGGATCCAGCAGGGGGGGGACCCCTCCCTTTTCATCAGAAAACTCCAATACTTTTTCTTATTGCAGTATTGTACTCAGGCATTTTTGTATAGTAAAAAATAATTACTATTGACCTCAGAATAGCCCCTAATATCAAGTGCACACGGCTTCAAATGGCCGAAAAATGCCCATGATATTGGTCAGATTAATAAAAAAAAAATATGTGGGGGCTTACAGTACCCCAGATGGATGGGCTCGCTTTGCTGGCCAGGTTTCCCCATCAAAACTTCTTGGTCCCTCCCCCTTTTTATATTCCTGGATCCGTCCCTGGAACTCAAACATGGAACAGGACGAAATGACTGTCTTTGTGTTCCTAGTAGACGTCAACCTCTCGGGACAACTCATCATAAAGCTGTATTGCTAAACTATCAATTTTAAATGAAGGAAATCAAATAAAATACCTTCATAATTATTCTAGAATGGTCGGGCTGTTGTTATTCCGCGTACACATGACGTCACAATTGCGCAACGTTTTCTCTGGTGATCGTAATGGTTGAAAAATATGGAATATGCATAAGTGTATAATGAATTTGATTTTGGTTATTCTGCTTATAAAGTACATAAAAATTGCTAATTAAAATGTATATCAATCTGTACTTCAACAATCACTGAACAGAGTCATCGGCTATCTTTGTGTAGGATACGTACAAAACATATGTACATTTTTTGTTGGGAATTAATTTAATTTTGTTCACGTTCACGTCCTAGTTTTTTTTATGCCATTTCAATTTGGAAATGATAGTTCTCTCTGAATCTGCATTTAAGTTTGCTCCCTCCCCCCCCTCACCAAAAAAAAAAAAAAGCGAGAGCCGTCTGGAGATCACTGTAGTAACGTGGGAGATAACCTCATTGACCTCATTCATGTTGTTTCTACACGTCAACGTCCACCCATACTTCATAGTAAAAAACAATGAAACATACTTTTAAAAAATGTATAACAAATGTACTAAAGAGAGAGGGACTAATACGGTTTAAAATCTCTAACATCCAAAGTAACGATAACCAAGTTGTGTACGAAACAGTAATGTGTGTGGCTTTTTGTCAGAAGGATTTAAACTCCGTCTATGTGATTTTCTGTTCGTATTCTGCAAGAAGAAAGTAAAAACATTCTGGCCAGGTCTTCGTATGGTCGTGGAAGTGTTTTGGCAGCTTTCAACGAACACAAATGAGCCAAATGGGCGCTACATATGCAAATCCAACATGATTGCTCACAGGAATCGCATTCGCTTTTGAGCACTTCGTCATAAAGTTTTACTGCTGCCTACTGAACCCCACGAATCCTTTCCCCTCTCATAAACATCGACTAAATCCAAGAGCTCGCCTTTACTTCACCAACTTCCTTCATCATAATATCGAACAACACCTGCGTAGCTTTTATAGGTATTTACGTTTCTTGATCCAGAACTGAACTATTAATTTCACTTAATTATGGAATAAAATTCATCGTGTTTAAAGACATAGGAAAAAGACGTCGATCGATATAAAGTGTAAACAATGTGTACGTCAACTATGAAGTAAGGTGCCCCCAGTTAGTGTGACCTGTTTGACCCCCCCCCCCCCCCCAAAAAAAGAAACAAAAAATCCTCACACTCTAAAGACGTATATAGTTTACTCCCGCCGTCATTTGGTCATCATGTGAGGCTACATGAGGCAGTACAGTAACAACCCTACAAAACAAATGTCACCCGGCCGTAATTTACCTCCAACCATTACTGTCATTACCACTACTGCCTCGCCAGGTCTCAAGTGAAGTGTTACCGAGAGTGACGCTGATGTACTGATTTTCGTCACATTGTGTGTTTCTCAGAAATATCACACAATTACACGTCAATATTACATGGAGTTGTAACGTTGTTGTGGTGGTGAGGACAGCAGGGAGCCCATGATGACAGTAATGATGGCAAGAGGTAATGACAGGGATGTAACATATTTGATGGTGTGATTGGTAGTGAGTTGTCTCCTGATCTTCCAAGGTGTTTAGAAAATACTGGGAATAAAACATACTAATTGAGGTTATGTTACCCACAAGATGAGAGATAATGGGAGCACGATTTTTGTCTCCAGTTTTTCTAAGTTTGGTGAGTTTGTGTCGAGCATCAGTAAGCAGTACAGGAGCAAAATATCACCTTTCAGAGAGCATTATAGTTGTGTATCACTGAATCAGTTCGTAATATAATGAATCATAAATAATCAATTAATTTTCTTTCAATTAGTAAAGCAGAAACAACATAAAAAATCAAATCTCTTCATAAATTTTGTTTTCTTTGATATGAAATTAAGAATACGAGGTGTTTCAATTACTAAGTACATATCTGCATCGAACAGGTTTAATGATATTTTTCAACCTCTCTGAATCTGAGACTGGTTAAGTCAATTTATTCTTCCTTTGCAATGTCCAGATAAGATGGCAAGTTTACCAAATATCATACTCTTGGGAAAGTTATTTTATTTTTGTACTATCGAAATTTTTATGGACTCACTGATAAAAGAAAAAGCACTTTCTGTACTCATAAAAATAAATCGTTATCTACATATTATTGTATGTCTCCTGTCGCCTCCTGCTGGCGACAGACGGAACTATATCTGCCTAACCGTCTCAACGCGGGTGGGAGTCCGGCCACCTCGTGAACCTGACAATACAAACTGGCCAAAGACATCAGTTTCTCCTCTTCTTTTTACTTAATAAAATATGTTATTATATGAGATTCAAGTTAGGGATGAACTACAGTACATACAGGGTGATTATAAATGATCTTCCTGATTCCGAATTTCTATTATTAAGAAATTAACAATGGTGGAGCAAAAAGTAACATATACAATTACAAAGCAATGTATAAAGTTTTTTTTTTTACAATCTATGATATTTCAATATGTGCATCCTTTGTGGCTGTGCAAACATCGAAACGATATTCTGTTTCTGCACTAGTAGCGGGGCTCCCTGTTCTGTGCTTTTCCTTTTGCAGATGCATCCATTGTCGATAAACTTACGATACCACTCACGAATTGAGTGTCCACTTGAACAGTGACCACAGATTGCGCTGTATGGTACTCAAGCACACAGAGAAAGTCTTCTCTTGTGACGCCATATTGTTCACTGCAGAATCAGCACAACCTATGGCAACCATTATCAGAATATCAAAACAACATACCGTAGACTCCAAAAAAAAAACTTTAGACATTGCTTTGTAATTGTGTATTTTACTTTTTGCTCTACCATTGTTAGTGTCTGTATAATAAATATTTGAAATTGGGAAGAACATTGTATAAGTACCACTGCTTTTCCCACCTGTACGTCGCAGGTACAGTACTTGACGAGGCTTACCTTGTGGTTAAGGACTCGTACAGGTGCTCGAAACAGTGAATCCTGGAACCTCCCGCATTAGGATCATAATGTAGAGGTCAGAAGCCATACAATACGATAAATACTCTACAGTTTATAGATTTTCACCCAATATCGGTATATAATTATTAATCTATTTACATCTTACTGAGCTGGAAGACAGATGGAACAAGATTATCTAAGTTACTCTTATACACCTTCCCCAAGTGTCCTGATTATACGAACATAATTAATTCTGAATAGAGAAAAATAACAAGAAAAATAAATTAATGCAATTATTTATCTGGACTCTGTTATTAAATGTTTTTGAAGACTTGTTTAATATGGTGATATGTTAATGTTTTCTGTAGGTGGGGTTGTGGTGGTGGTGGTACTTGAAGGTGGGCGTGTGTGGTGGTGGTGGGACTGTAGGTGGGTGTGTGTGTGGTGGTGGTGGTACCTGTGGTGGGGCGTGTGTGGTGGTGGTGTGTGTGTGGTGGTGGGCTTGTAGGTGGGCGTGTGTGGTGGTGGTGGTACTGTAGGTGGGCGTGTGTGGTGGTGGTACCTGTAGGTGGGCGTGTGTGGTGGCGGTGGTGGTACCTGTGGTGGGCGTGTGTGGTGGTGGTGGTACCTATAGGGTGGGCGTGTGTGGTGGTGGTGGTACCTATAGGTGGGCGTGTGAGGAGGTGGTGGTGATGGTACCTGTAGGTGGGCGTGTGTGGTGGTGGTGGTACCTGTAGGTGGGCGTGTGTGGTGGTGGTGGTACCTATAGGTGGGCGTGTGAGGAGGTGGTGGTGGAGGTACCTGTAGGTGGGCGTGTGGTGGTGGCGGCGGCGTTGGTACCTATTTGGTCATGATCATGTCAGAACCTTGCGTCACTAACTATAAGCAATCACCTGGTGTTGTGTAACCACCTGCGGTCATGAGCCTGGTGTAAAACCGCCACCGAGTCTTCGTTCATCATCCTCATCAAGACGTCTGCTTGGGAGTGAATAATGTACTGGAGGTAGTGTAGTGTGGGTCATTATTGGTCACTCTGGCACTTCTGTCAATAACTGCTCGACCAGGCAGGTACAAAAGAACCAGTTATTGAATACATTCAGTCAGTGCCGAGGCTCCCCACCGCCTGCACCATCTACCTCGCACCTTAAGTAACAAGGACGTTCCAACAACATGTGATGTCTCTTCACTAATTACGCCAACGTATAGAAAATATTAAACAATCGGCTGCGTCAGTGGGGGAACTACAGTACAACTCCTGAAGGTGACAGAACAGAAGATCAGACGCCCTCCATCATCAAGTATCCTCAGTCGTGTTGCCACCTCACGTAACACCATGGCAGCGACAACAACACACCGGATGCAGCAGCAACACCAGCAGTTTATGACCTGCAAGACACCTCCTGGCCCGTCAGCTCCCGATGCCAACAGTCACCTGCCCCCTCTTATAATCACTCCTACCGTCACCTTCCACACGCTACTCTTATTGATCATCACCTGCCCAACAGCTTCGTCTCGTGACTGTAAGTAGTTTGAGTCATTACTGCAGAGAATAACAAACACATGTTGCTGGTAACTTTAACCATTACTTTATAAAACACCTGACTCACACAGGGCGTCACACCAGATTGCCTCCTTGTAAAATCAACACATCAAATGAACCTATGAGTATCGCCACATTATCAACTGCAAACTAACTCCGTACAGCCACACACATGTTGGCTGACTCAGTGATAAGGGTTAACTATAATTAAGACATGCCATCCTGAAAGGGAGAAATGATTCTTTTTAATAGCTATCATTCGGTTACTCTTGTCTTGGTACAGGTATGGCAGATGTCAATAAAATTTGGAAGAGTCAAATACAATGGGAAGAAGTTTTGCCTGGTGTCGCTACACTGACTTTCAAGACAAATCAAATAATACCTAACATATTTAACAAAGTGAATCTGGTTCACTGAATTCCGCACTTACAACTTGTGAAGTGTAACCCAAATTATAGGTAGTTTTACTTTGGTCGCTGAACCAAGGCGACTAAGACAAGAGGCTACATACAGGCTAAAGCTAAAAGTTCTCCTGAACCAAAGCTAAACATTAGGAGGTAGAAATTAGAAATTTAAACAAGTGCTAAGCAAACAAAAATGTTAATTAAATTAAAACTTTTATCATCTTTTCAGAGGTGTTTAAAATCGAGTTGAAATAAATGGCATTATGTCAAGAATAAAACCTCCCTTACAAGATGTTTCGATATCATGGGTCTGGAATACTGTAGTGTAAGGGAAGGTAGAGTATGACTCTTATATCCTGTATTCTTCAACCCGTGTGACTCTCCTTCTCTGGCTAGTGTCAACAAATCAGGCTCGACGCTACGTACTATAAGACTGAGACCAAAATTATGCTTCGTAAACCCGGCCTTTTTTGTTTAGTCAAGTCTTGGTGTTCGTCGTAAAATATACTCCCCGAGTAAAACTTTTTTTTGAAAGGTTAACATAAGCTCAAAAGTTTCGATTTTGTAAAAGAAATAACAAAAAAAAAATAATAATAATTTTAGTTGCATTACATAAACTTCCCGAACTGCATGTATAATAACGTCATCTTGCAACCTAAGAGATTTTTAAAAGAAAATTAAGTACGAAATGTTGTAAAAAAAAAAAAAAAAAATCCCAATTTTTATTCAGGTTCTTCAAAGGCTTTAATAATAATTCTTAAGACCCAAGTTGACGATAGGAATGAGTACAGCAGGTTAACCCCTTCACTACGGGGATACCACTTTTAATATTTTATTTACTTAACGCCAGACAATTTTATTCAGCTCCAAAGGGAACCCGTACACTGGGGGTTAATGGGATGGTGACTACTGGGCGGGGAGACGTATATGTCAGTTCACTCTCAGCTTTGTTATTGACACAGTGTTGAGCGTACTGTGCAAGAAAGGAACATACTCCCTCTCCCCTGTGCCTTACACCGCCTCCGCAACTATAGACCATACCATAGCAAAACTCCGTCAACACATGATACATACGATATCTGGGTGAACAGACGAGTGTGGGGAAAGCATTATCAAGCTGAAGGTGATTTCAACGCAAATATCTCAATCGATTCTACTTCATAAATAACACATATTATCTTCAGACTACAGTATATACTTTTTTACCCGCCAAAAATGAGTAAAATTAATGCTGTATGTACAAAACAGTATTGGAATGTTATACCTTTCGTTATCCACCAGTTTGTAAGTATCAGTTCACAGTTGCCTGCCACCCTGAGACGAAGACTACTATTATACAGGGAGTGCGACTTATTTGGGTAAAATTGCATTTGTTGCCACCATGCAATTTTGACGTAAAAACTATGTTTTATGATAGTTCTTAAAGTGTTGCGAACGAATTTAAATCTAATTTATATCGCAAATCAATAGTTTCTGAGAAAATTTCCCCCATCACTTCATAATAAAGTGATTTGCGATAAAATTGAAGGTTAAATTAGTTCAAAACACACCCAAAATCATCGGAAAAACAGCTTTGACGTCCCAACAATGTTCGTGCGTGGAGAATCGGGGGTTGAAGGGGGGAAATAAAAACGTGGGGAAAAGCAGTCAGCAGAGTGAAGCCGTCCAAATCTATAGCCAACCTAACCTAGGATTGCCGTGTGCCAATATCCAGAGGGCCTCTAGGTCGTTTGCGAGGGAAAAGTCATATAATAGAAGAAATGTGTTTTAGAATTGTCTTAACTGTTGATATCAAAGATAAAATTCCCGAGATTTGGTTAATGATAACAAATTCAATAATACGGTTATTTTATGGTGGAGCGCAACTTATTGTACAGGGAGCACGATTTATATTATGGGGAGAGCGACATTTTAAGGGGGAGCCTGGCTTATTTTAAGGGGAGCGCGGTTTAAGACTCACCTTCAGCCTATAATGTACTGAGTGGTGACGGAGGGTCGTGGCAGGAGCAGGTGGGAGGTAACACATAAGGTAATAGGGTGGGGACTGCTCTTTGATGTGCCCGCAACCATATCTTGGTCAATATACGCGGCTGAAAAACGACATACAGACATGATAGAGGAAATAATGAAAGTTCCTATACCCAAGTCGTCACCACAACAGTGTAACCCTCGTGACACTGGCGGAGCATCGCTGAGGAGTGACATGACATTCATACGGTACCACTTTATAAAATGTTTAACTGGGCAATTTTTCTCCATAAATAGATATGATAATTTAAGCTGTCACTCTGGTTTAGGTGTTATATTAACCAAAACATTAATAGCTGAGTGCCACCTTAATATGCTCGTCAGGCACAGTTTTTATTGCTATCTTCATACTAACACTTGCATGTGAGTCGATATTGTTTATTATACTGTACTGACTCTGATGAGGTGACGCCCATGAAACAAGTCTTCAGTCATGGTTAGCGAGTCATTAATTTTTTTTGTTGCAACTGAAGATATTTTGTAACACGTGAGGGACAATAAATAATAGGTAAATTGTATGTCGGACAATGACTGTCGTCCACACCTGGTGTCTGCAGTGCGTGAGGGCGGGATGACCACGGCCGCCCGACAACAGGTGGAGGGAGTGATATCCCAGGCAGTGGAGCTGGTGCTGCCCCTCCTGGCCCAGGGCACCTCGGCCCTCATCGTCCACGACGGTTCACCTGATGCCCTGGAAGTCACCCACCGACTGGCCTCACGTCTCTCCGTGCCCCTCCAGGTGGGGGACATGTCACGCCTGCTGGAACACCCCGCCACACTCGCTGCCTTCCAAAAAGACCAACACAACTCTGACCTTGGACTGACGGTCTTCGTGTTCAGCAATGTGAGCGTCGTGGGCAAGTTTGTGACGGTCAAGTCTCACTTATGGGTGACCACTCCGCTGCTGCTGCTGAGCCTCTCCCTGTACCATGACGCCAGGTACTGTACCCCACTACCACCAGGTACTGTACCCCACTACCACCAGGTACTGTACCACACTACCACCAGGTACTGTACCTCACCACCAGGCATTGTATCTTACCATCACCAGATACTGTACCCTACCACCACCAGGTACTGTACCCTACCACCACCAACAAGTATTGTATCCCACCACCAGGTACTGTACCACACCACCAGGCACTGTATCCTACCATCACTGGTACTGTACCCTACCACCACCACCACCACCACCAAGTACTGTACCCCACTACCACCAGGTACTTAAACCCCACCAACAGGTACTTAAACCACACCACTAGGTACTGTACCCTACCACCACCGCCTGTCACTATACCCACCACCATGTACCGTGTACCACTACCCTACGGTTTGATGATCAAATCCGTATAAACCCCAAAAGATTTCTTATAAAACTGTATCAGATAGAAGTTTATCTTAGGACTCGACCACTAATATTATGTACAGTAATGCGCCACACACACACACACACACAGCTTTGATACAATGAAACGAGTTATTAGGGATGCCAGCTAGGTTGGTGAGTTTTGAGGTGACTAAAAAGACCGATACGTGACCCGCAGAGTCGTTCACATTCGTTGCACACGTGGAGGGCTCCATTTACTGCGCGAGGGGCTGTGGCAGCGTCTTTCCGGTGTTGGCGTTTGTCTGCCTCGGTTGTAGTTGGGTTAACTCGAAAGTATTGACACCTTCTCGTGTGGTGCTCCTGCAAGCGTTACGGTGTGAAGTAATTGTGTCCCAGGTGAGGGGATCGATTTGGCACTTTTTCAGGTTTGTCTTAAGACTATCCTTATACCTTTTCAGTTGCCCGCCAGCGTTACGTTTACTAATCGTTAGGTGACTGTTACCCATAAGGGTAACATGGCCAGTCCAGCGTAGTTGTTCATGGATAATGGTAGCTTCGATGCTTCCACAGTTGCTGTCAGCAAAAATACTGGCATTTGTTCTCTTGTCTTCCCAGCGAACTAGGAGGATGAAACGTAGACTACGTTGGTGAAAGTTTTTAATTGCCTTGAGGTGCGTCCTGTATGTGACCCATGTCTTGCTGCCATATAGCAGGGTTGGGAGGACCACTGTTCGATATACGTGAAATTTTGTAGATAATTTCAGCTCCCTACAGCTAAAGACACGGTTCTGCCAAGGCTTGAGATGCACATCTGATCCGATGCTGAATCTCTTCATCGATGTCCGCGGTGGTGGACAGGTGGGAGCCAGCACACACACACAGAGTTTACATCACCTTCAGTGTTTCTCCCAGTCTGCCTCAGTGTTCTCCCATGGTCTACAACACTCAACTTAAGATATAACTCACGTTACATCTAATATATTGTAGGATAATTATTGAAAGATATAAACTGTTCCCTGGAAGCTTACAACTGAGGCCCAGCGTCAGTTTATAGGAAGCTAGAATTGTTGAATGTTTGTCTTGTTCTCTTCAAGGTACTTATGTTACCAGAACGTTTCTCAAGCTAATTTTTGTTTCCCCAAGAGCAGAAATTACCAGAGATCAACACAGAATAGTTAATATCCCTTAAAATACCAGAATATAAATATGATGGACTTAATACTAAAGAACTATAGTGACTTTCACTGTGTCCGTCCGCCAGCCAATCAGCTGCCTTGTGACAGACCGACCCAAGGCTCAAGTTACAAGGTGTGTTGGAACTGTAAGGCAATAAACAAGTGTAGCTCTACCTGGGTTACTATACCTGAAATAGTGTCGACCATAAGTGACCATGCAGTAGAAGGTCATGTATTTAATAGATAATAATAAATGAGAAAAAGAATTTTGTTCATATTAAGTCGAGTTTCAGTAAAACTCTGACTGATATTAACTGTAAAATTCTCCTCTGACGTGTAATACTGTATTCTCTCTGTATCACACAATAAATTACACCACCCGTTTTCTCATATAATTTCGTTCCGTTCACTCATTTTTCTATTTCCATCGACACACTAACGACCATTTCGATATACGACTATAGTGTACTTCCTGTGTCCCTCCCACCCCCCCTGCACCGTCGTTTATTATGTCTATGTTAAAATAAAGTGCGGAGGTGTGGTGGGTGGCCGGGAGGTGTAGTGGGTGATGGGGTGGGTGGCCGGAAGGTGTAGTGTAGTGTGATGGGGTGGGTGGCCGGAAGGTGTAGTGGGTGGCCGGGAGGGTGTAGTGGGTGATGGGGTGGGTGGCCGGAAGGTGTAGGGGTGGGGAGGTGCAGTGGGTACAGGAGGTGTGTGGGTGATGGGTGTGTAGTGGGTGGGGGAGGTGTGATGGGTGGGGGAGGTGTGATGGGTGATGTGGTTAGTGTAGTGGGTGACCGGGAGGTGTGGTGGGTGATGAGGTTAGTGTGGTGGATGGCCGGGAGGTGTAGTGGGTGACGGGGAGGTGTAGTGGGTGACGGGGAGGTGTAGTGGGTGACGGAGACCAAGAGGGTGGTAGGACAGGGAAGGCCACCGTCATAATAACTTGTAATTATTGGAAATTAACTGGACATTAACATGACCACCTGAAGAATAACACCCAAGCTTATTTCACCTGATGATTAGACACCCTAACACTACCCTGGGGATTAGGTTAAGTTAGATAAGATTAGGTTAGGTTATAAATGTTAAGGTGTTTATGGACAGATGAAATTAGCTGGGGTGTCTAATCTTCAGGTGATCTCGTTAACGTAATTGAACAACAAATGAAGATAATTACCTGATACAAAGATTACCAACACCGCTTAGCGAACATATATTGTAAGTACACACTGCCTGGTCGATACGCACATTATGTACTGTACGTTTAATCAGACAAATATCTCTACCCCGAGTGGTCCTTTTCACGCATGTCTAAAATAGAAAGAGAGAAAAATAGATATAGAACATAGACAAATAGATATATAGAACGACTGATAAAAATATAGACACACACACACACACACACATATATATATATATGCTGATAACCACAAGGAAAGAAGAAAACACGAAGTTCCCAAGCGCTTTCGTGTAATTCACATCTTCAGGGGTGAGTACAGTCTGTACACGAAAGCGCTTGGGAACTTCGTGTTTTCTTCTTTCCTTGTGGTTATCAGCATATACCTAGATCACGCGCAACTACAGTGATTTACTTGCATATATATATATATATATATATATATATATATATATATATATATATATATATATATATATATATATACTCGTTGTTTCCATTTTCCCGTGTGATTTTATCAAGATTTATCTTATCCACGTTTTTCATTGTGGATTTATGATATATATATATATATATATATATATATATATATATATATATATATATATATATATATATATATATATATATATATATATAGAGAGAGAGAGAGAGAGAGAGAGAGAGAGAGAGAGAGAGAGAGAGAGAGAGAGAGAGAGATAATACTATACATAAAAGGAAAATCTATAGATGGTAAACTGTGTTCTGCTCGAAGAGAATAATGACCAAGCAGGTGATGGCTTACCTATTAACCGTGACAGAGAGGTGCTGGTGGAGGTGCAACAGGTACGATGGTCAGCCCTCCTGCAGGCACAGCACACCCCTAGCGGGCGGTTCACACATTCTCTCTTCACCTTCCTGCCCTTCAACCCTCCAGACTCTCAGTTCCACATTCAGGTGAGTCTTGTCTCAGAAATCATTTGTGTATGATACTGGTAAGCCTGTAATAATAATAATAATAATAATAATAATAATAATAATAATAATAATAATAATAATAATAATAATAATAATAATAATAATAGAGGTATATTAATAATAGTAGAAACATTTTGCTTACTTGCGTATGGCAGTCCATCGTAGGCCGATGACGACGTAGTTCCTGGTTATGAAAGGGTGAGGATTTAACGCTGACGGCGTTGATGTCACTTCATGTGGCTGTGTAGGCCAATGAAAGAGCCGCAGTTTTTGCCGCACGTGGGGCAGGGGTGTTGTGGGCTAGGAGGGTCGGCTCCTGCAGCGCGTTGGTATCGTCGGACGCACCTTACTGTCCTCATCTTGTGCAGGTAAGCCGCTAGCCTCTCCAGGGCTGTAGCCTGCAAGTCGCATTTCTTGAGGTCATTGGAATGATCTTTAAACCTTTTTCGCTGGCCAGGAGATGGATTGCCGTGGAGTAGACTTTATAGAATTTGGCGAGGCAGGCGGTGCTCCGTCGTTCTGATGGCGTGCCCCTGCCGGCTGAGGTGTCGTCGAGCAAGGATTACTTCAATGCTTGTGGTTTAGGTGAGGAGGTAAATCTCGTCATAGGTCACTCAAGCAACCCAAGATAACACCAAGATCCGCCGCAGACACTTAATGTGGAACCCTTCCAGGGACCTAATATGGCGCCTATACGGGATCCAGGTCTCCGACCCGTAGAGCATACTTAATGAGCACAGAAAATAGTTGTTGTTAGCCCACCAGTTTTCTCGCCGCACCTTTGCATTACATTGTCGCCTCCTATTTTGATCTCGTGAGAACTGGTGCACTATTTTGTCCCTCCCTGGACGAGTAGAACGTCCCATGCTATACAGCATGGCATATCGAGTTACTGAGATAGAGCGGGGACCTTCCTGGAAATAAGCACTTTGTCGACTATCCTGGGTCAAGTTGCCTTACTGTTTACAATTATCGCACTGTCCCGGCACACAGGAAACTGTGTACTCCCGCGACCTACGTACACCATACAGCAGTGGTTCCCAACTCATAGTTTGCGGCAGCGGAACCATATTATGGAGCCCGCAAGGTTTTTTTTAGAAAACTGTGAATTATTTGTAAGAGTGAAATTAATGAAAATATGTAATAACTTGATACAACTTTATAGAGAGAGAGAGAGAGAGAGAGAGAGAGAGAGAGAGAGGGAGAGAGAGAGAGAGAGAGAGAGACTGCACGTTTGTTCCGAGTCTGTCGTGAACAGGACGTGACGTGTGCATTTACTTCAGTCCAGGCCCAGAGACCCAGTCTTCTCACTAATATATATATATATATATATATATATATATATATATATATATATATATATATATATATATATATATATATATATATATATATATATATATATATATATATAGCTCCTTTTAAGAATGCATAAACCAAGAGCAAATGTCAAAAGTGTGTAGCTGGTAACAGTTAGACGTGTAAAACTGGCCAAAACTGTACGGTATAGGATTTTTTTCTTGAATGTAGATCTACAGTTTTGGCGCCCTCCACTATACAGTATATGTCGCCCAGAGCCTAGATAAGGTTGGGGACCACTGATATACAGTACAGTATAGTACCTACATTGACTATATTCATGCTGAACTGTTTAATTTACAAACATACTTAAACAATTGTAAACATGTAAGACAATTTTACTGAATCATCATCATCATCATCCTCTACAGTACGAATGCAAACTTCTTCATCAGCTCAGTAACAACATGGCGCCCATATATCACGGGATCGGCTCAGTCAATCAGGTCCGACCATCGAGTTGGCTAAATTCTATCTATGGCTCGGACTCTGCCTGATGCTGGGCCCCACCGCAGATTTTTCGTTCAGGGTTTACTCCTGTAGCCTTATATCAAGGTTACTCCGCAAGGCAGTGGAGCAGTGGTCGGTAGGCGCCGGGGCGTGTATACGTGCCGGAGGGCCTATGTGCAGTACCTCTGAGCCCACTGTTGCTCAGAGATCACCGGCTGGCCCGCGAGGCACCCAGTTACCGTACGCTGCCACGAGGAAGCACAGCAGGAGTCTTGATGCTAAGAGGCTGCTTTCCTGTTCACCACGAGGGTTAGCCAGTGGTGATAGCTGAAAGCAAGAGAAAGCAAGCAATGCTTTCTCCTTAACACTTACATAATGCTGCCACACTAGACGCATTACACCACCCTATGGAGAAAAGTCCCCACAGCACACAGTAGAAATACACACACACACACACACACACACACACACACACACACACAAAGGCTATTCAACAATAGTGTCACTTTCTGCCCCTCGCCAGGTGTATAACGAGGAGATGCCACTTACACGAGGTCGGGTGTTTGTGGAGCGTTACTTGGACTTTCACGGGTGGGAGCTGAAGGTTGCCAGCTGGATCGACGACTTTCCTTTCTTATTCTATGACAGCAGTAAGTCGCTTCTCTCACCATCACCCTCGATATGGATTTACACGTTTTGAAGGCCACCTTTATTTTAGCGATGGACAAAAAAAATAAATAAATAAATAAAAATATATATATAATAAGCATTGACTATATTGTGTAGAACAAAGCAACTTGACTTTACTCATTTTGTTTCGAAGGCCTAAAGATAAGTTTCTAGTTTTTAATATCTAGCATTAACAAATCTAGTCCTATAGTGTATTGTCTTACTGATAACAAATACACAGATTAATATAAAAACACCTTCCGTGGCCCAGGTCAGCAGGTTCAGGGGCTGTCCAAGATGATGCTGGACGTGATAGCCAGCCGCCTCAACTTCACCTATCACCTACAAGAACAGCCGCCTGATGGCTACTGGGGAGCCATCATCAACGGCACCTGGATGGGCATGGCGGGGCAGCTGGTGCGACGCGAGAAGGACATTCTTATCGACGGCTTTGCCATCTTGGAGGACCGCTTCCATGCCCTCGACCTCTCTGTGCCCTACTTCACCGACGCCTACAGCGCCACACTCAAGGTTCCTCCAACTGAGTCTTACAGAGAGTAACATAAAGTTCACTAATTACACTTGCTAGTGAATTAATTACACCAACACAAATTTAACTTTCGTCTATTACTACATTATTTTATTGTAACTATATATAAACTTAGCAATTAACTAATTCTATTTAACACAGGTGTGCTGTGCCTGTGATATACAAGAGGTGTTCTGAATTTGTTTTACAATGACCTAAACAGTTATGTTGCTTCTGGCATAAAAGGCAAAACAAATGTGTCCAAGTGGTAAAACAGGTGTGTAGTTCATGATAAATCAGATGAACCAGGTGTGTAGATCAAAACAAGGTAAAGCAGGTGTGTAGTTCTTGATAAATCAGCTGAACCAGGTGTGTAATTCATGATAAATCAGATGAACCAGTGTAGATCAAAACAAGGTAAAGCAGGTTAATGTAGTTCTTGATAAATCAGCTGAACCAGGTGTGTAATTCATGATAATCAGATGAACCAGGTGTGTAGTTGATGGTAAATCAGGTGAACCACATGTGTAGTCCATGATAAATCAGGTGAAACAGGTGTGTAGCTCATGATAAATCAATTGAACCAGGTGTGTAGTTCACGATAAATCAGCTGAACCAGGTGTAGTTGATGGTAAATCAGGTGAACCACATGTAGTCCATGATAAATCAGGTGAAACAGGTGTGTAGCTCACGATAAATCAGGTGAAACAGGTGTGTAGTACGTATTGGATCTGGTGAAACAGGTGTGTAGTACGTATTGGATCTGGTGAAACAGGTGTGTAGTTCATGATAAACAAGGTAAAAGCAGGTGTGTAGCTCATGATAAATCATGAACCGGGTGTGTAGTTCACGATAAATCAGCTGAACCAGGTGTGTAGTTGATGGTAAATCAGGTAGATACATGTGGTCATGATAAATCCAGGTGAAACAGGTGTGTAGCTCAATCAAAATCAGGTGAAACAGGTTATTGTAGTACGTAGTGGATCACGGTGAAACGGGTGTGTAGTTCATGATAAATCAGAAGAAATAATGGCACAGATTATTGCGGTACATTACAAACAGGTGCGTTGTGTTGCAGGTGCCTCCCCCAGTGCCACGGTGGCTGGCTGTGGTGTAATACCGTTCAGGCGAAGTGTGAGCGAGGGTGGCAACCACTTATATGTTGTTGTCCATTATTGTGCTCTACACCCTCCTGACCACCACTCCCTACCTGTCTACACTGATGTTATGTACACCCACTACCTGTCTACACTGATGGTATGTACACCCACTACCTATCTACACTGATGGTACGTACACCCACTACCTGTTTACACTGATGTTATGTACACCCACTACCTGTCTACACTGATGGTATGTACACCCACTACCTGTCTACACTGATGGTATGTACATCCACTACATGTCTACACTGATGGTACGTACACCCATTACCTATATACACTGATGGTACGTACACCCATTACCTATATACACTGATGGTACGTACACCCACTACCTGTCTACACTGATGGTACGTACACTCACTACCTGTCTACACTGATGGTACGTACACCTGTCTTTATATATAGGTTGGCAGCCTTTATTGTATATGTAGAATGAAAACAATTAAAAACCCTATTTATGAATAGCTGGTACAATAATTACTACTGCTGCTATTAATAACAACATAGGTAATAATAATAATAATAATAATAATAATAATAATAATAATAATAAAAGTCATTTGCTGGCAGATGTTAAACCTTAAGACTTAGACATGGTAGACGCAGCAGTGGTACCATAACCACGACGATTGCGGTAGAGTAGACAAAATAACACTTGTACAGCCCACTTCACGAGTGTGTTTACAGGGGATCGTTAGGTTTTGTGCCCAGTGTTTGTTTACATTCGACAAAGGAAACTAGCAATTGTAAACATACAATGGAATCAAATTAAAATAATATTAAAACAAATATCTCAAAGATTTGAGGACTGTTTATATGAAGAGCCCCTGTAAACGCACTAGTGAAGGGGACTGTACCAATTTGCCTGTGGTACAACAAACACCTCACCACTGGTACACTGACCCACTCCACCACCGACAGAGATAGACTTGTCATCGACGTGGTTATGGGTGGTTCGTGGCGTGATTGCACAGTCAACACCGTGGATGCCTCAGACACAGGCCTCGCGGGTGCTGCTGGGGGCGTGGTGGTTGGCGGCGCTGGTCATCTCCACGAGCTACACGGGCAGCCTCACCGCATTCCTCACCGTGCCCACACAGGCTCCCAGGATCGCTACACTCCCTGACCTCGCCGAGGCTTCTCAACAGTCAGGCAAATCAACTTAATAAAACTATAATAATTTAGTTTCTAATTAAACCAACTCATGTATACTATATTACTTCATAAGCTAAAGTTCAAATAGTTTTTCATATATAAATATTATTCAATGTTAATTTTCGGAAATTATAAAAAACTTTGTACTTAATACCAAAATAATGAAAGAAAGAAGAAAATTAACATAATAATTATGAAAGAAAATTATTATACAAATATCACTCTCCTCCGCTTCAGGGGGGGGGTCTTCATTTGTTTACCTCACAGTTTTTTTTCCAGGTTGTACATGCTAGATTTCGGTGCCTTTTTGCCCGGGCTGCTGAAGACCTCGGTGGACTCCGTGTACCGCACTCTGGGCAACAAGCTCCACCTCCTAGACACCTACGAGGCCATCAGGCAGAAGGTGGAGGAGGGGCACGCGCTGGTGCAGGGGACGCACTACACTCTGGCTGTCCTCGTCAGTTGGCACATGAGCAACGCGTATGTCGTGGAGGAGACGATGTATCCCAACCACAACGGCTGGGCTTTCCCGAAGGACACACCTTGGACGCACTTGTTCAACGGGTGAGGTCGTTTACTCCCTTCATATGTTTAATTTCATCCCCTTCAGCGCTGTCAGAAAATAAATTTTCTTAGATATTTGAAGAGAAACAGAATAAATCCCGAACAGCACACTTAACTGACAGTATATTAAAACATTTTCTTACTACTGGACAAATCCTAATCCGTCTCTATTATCCGTAGCTTTTTCAGGCAAATGTGTCAACTAATTTCTTGAATGTTTACAAGTTCTTCATTTGACTGAGCTAATGTACTATCGTGGACAAAAGTTGGCTCCCTCCCAAACTGAAGCAGTATCGACCCAAATGAGATAAAACAGCACACCCGCACCAGATGACAGTCAGGGTAAGTCAGTTTGGAGACTCATTCCCGTGACTCAGTTTCACCACAGGGAGAGAACTTTTGTTCACGATAGTACAACGGTAGGGCCAATTGCAAGAACGGTTATGGGGTGTACGGCGCCATTTACGATGACCTTCTTGCCCTGGTCTTTTTTCAGCAATATCGCCTTTAACACATGGAATTCTGCACTTTTCGAAGCTTGGAGGAGTCTCGAAACAAGTTTCCTGGTGGGAATTATTAGCTAGTGCTGTACTCAAAATATCGAAACTTCGAGATCTCTCCAGAGCTTCAAAAGGGTGGCATAACTGAAACAACATCAGGGCAAGAAGGTCATCGTAAATGGCGTCGTACACCCCACGACTGTTCTTGCAATTGGCCAGTAGACAACAACTGTGTCAGCGTAATGTAACCTCACCAACTGCCCTCTTCCCACAAAAAATATTGATAAACCAAAGTGACATTACACGGTCTTGACGCTCTTCATATTTATATCAACATCACCTTTAACGTTCATCACCTCAATACCTTCACTATATGTCCCACAACTGAGGGTTCTACGCAGATAGATGTATCTTTTGTTAGAGTGAGATAGTCCAACAAGGAAAGAGACGCCAGGCGGTTAAAGAGACATACTGTACTGTATATCCTTATGTATGAAAATTGTCCTTACATTGAGGGTTATTTTTCTCTGCCTCTGATGAATATCTGGGTCAAATGAAAGTATTTTGAGTCCTCTGTTTATCTGTGATAGGCACCTGACGAGAATGACGGAGGCCGGGCTGGTTAATCAGTGGCACCGCACCGCTGTCGCTCTCTTCCGTCACGACAATGATCTTCCGCCTCTACTAGTGGGGGAGGAGCCGCTCACCCTACGGGCCCTCTCTCTCGAAGATACTCAAAGCTCTTTCATCATCTTGGGTATTGGTATTTCGCTGGCACTTTTATTTTTTTGTTTTGAAATCCTCAGTCGCCGCTCTCTTAAACACAATTAAACAAAGTAGAATCAGACGGCACATCCTCACCAACATGTCAAAATAAAGTGAATACAAAATATTACAATGACCAATATGTCATAGAAAATGTCTGGCGAGATTGCAGCTTGAGGCACCGCGTAACGAAACTTTCTTTAGGTTTATATCATGACGCCCTCTTGCCAGTGACCGACGCGAGCACCACCAACACGAACCTCCTCACGGGCTTAGTTTCACATCCACCGATTATCTTACAATCTCACTGAACACGTTGTATCACCTCGCATGTAATAAAAAAGCAACAGTTATAGGTCTTTATTCTCCCTCATTATATACTCTCAAGTTAATAATCAGTTAATGGCTATAAGTGAGCGGAAACAAAATAAATAGAAGTATAGGTTAATACTGCACTCAAATATCATAATTTTGTCGGGTGTTTACTGTTGATGAATACAGCAGCGTATGAACCAAACACCATAAAGGTTCAACAATATCCTTAAGTACGTTAAGAGGCTAACACGGGACGCATATACCAGAACCACATTCAATAATGAGATTAAATCCACTAGAGAACATCACATATCTAGACATGCACAGGTCTTGAAATATTCAATAGTATCCCCTAAAAACAGTATTATCATTTTCTTCAGAAGAGTATTAAAAGAAAGCCGTTCTAGGGCTAACAGAGGTAAATTTCACACACACACACACACACACACACACACACACACACACACATACACACACACATACACACACACGCACACATAGTATTTTCTTTAATACTTTTCCAATAGATCCACATACGGTACTCAAGCTATTTATGTTTAAGAGCTGGTTAAGCCTACTGTGAACAAAATTACTGTTAATGATGTTAGAGGCTTCATAATTATACTGTACAGGGCAGCCCTGCAGCTAATTCTAAAAGGTTATATAATTATATAATTGACATAAATGAATAATTTCTGTTGTTATCATCATCATCATTGTCTCCTGTTTATTTCTCTACCCCTCTGTCCATCACCCTCACCCTCCAGTTCACATCAGTCAGCCTCCCTCAAGACCCTACCAACATAATCCTCTCTCTCACCACAACCTAAGCCTCCCTCTCCCTCCCTCCCTCCCCCGTCCATTCATTTGCTCTGCTCGATAAATAAATTACCAAGAAATGTTTTGCAATAATAAGAAAGCTAACGCAAAAAATAAAATTAATCGAAACATGTATTGTCCACCTATAATTTAAAATTGCAAATAAATTGAGGTGGCAAACAATACAAACAACTTCTGTAAATGTTCAGATAACGTCAATTTTGTTGTCTCCACCCGGCCGGCTAGTGGCGAAGAGGATAAGTTAACTGTTAGTCTAGTGGTCTGTCCAGTAAGGTGAAAACACAGTCATTAAAGTGATCTGAACGAAGAATTAAAGCCTCTGATAGCATCAATAAAAAAAAAAAATAAAAAAATAAATAAATAATAATAATAATAATAATAATAATAATAATAATTCTGTCTTTTCATGTTAATCACCAGTACCATGACAATAGACCAACTGAACCAGCAATATAAACACAAATAACAACACTTCCCTCATAAACATTGTCTAAAACTTGATATAAACATTTCTAACATTAATATGGATATTTTACGACAAATATATTTACCATAACTCTGAGATGCTTCCTTAAGATGGCTACAACGAAAGACCAAAACACATATTAAATTCTAAACATACGTCATATTCAAAGCATTTTTTCGTTGTATTTTTCTACTTTAAAATGTAGTTCAGTGTATGAAGTTGTAAGTAATAATTAATATTTTTTTCATGCCTTTAACACCTAAGATAACTGAATAAAGTTCCTCCGTCATCAGAACCTTCCCGAGGTCATCAGCTGAGGTGGCCAGATCTGCTAAACATAAGCAAACAGAAGCAATATAAACATTCATGCAGTGTGTGTGTGTGTGTGTGTGTGTGTGTAGTCACGAAGGCCTGTATAAAGTGCACAGTCGTCAAGGCAACACCAAATATGAAATATATCTGATAATACCATCACATCATCTCCACAATGTTAACTCCACATAGTAACACTCAGGAATGCCGCTCACCCCAACATCCATTACCTACTGTTATAACGATTCATGGCTGGATAAGATGACACCCCCCCCCCCTCACGCCAATAATGTTATATATTATGTACTCAACAGCACCAAGTTATCTTTACTACATTACCTTGAAATCTAAAAACAACTTATGGCAACACAATTCTGGCATTTTAACTCAATTATACAGAGAAAATCCCCGGGAGTATTGATCACCTCTCTCGGATGTTGACGTGAGTGTTCCAAGATGGCGCTTTAGGAACTTCCGGCATCTACTCCCAAGTCTCAATGGCATCTTGTTTCATAGGTTATAACAGGAGTACGACGGATACGCCCTATATGGTTAGTCCGACACTGATACATAAAAGTAGTACTCCTAGAATTGTACTCACTTGGTGTAGAATATACCAATTGGGCGTCATTGTTATTGTTGCTTGTCACTCTGATCACTCACACGACACACAAGGGAGAGAGAGAGAGAGAGAGAGAGAGAATTGTGGACTAAGGCTCTACATTCTCTTATAACCTTAAGCACTGGTATGTGGTCTTGAGTACGTTCTTCTCACAGGTCAAATAACCAAATCATAAACCAGCGTCAAGTTCCACATTTATGGTTTTAATGAACGAACAGCAGAAAAACGAACACACGAACATAATAATCTTGGACAATTTTACGAAATAAACGAGAAAAAAGAAACAAGCATACGTGAAGCATATCAGTTAGCAATTTTTTTTGTTTTTTTTTACAATTTAATATTTATATACAAGAAAAAATATTCTATTATATTACGTAAGAGTCTTGAAGGGGACTGACAGAGAAGTCGATTACTGTATCCTACCCTTAGCAGCTGGCGGGGAATACTAATACTACTACTACTACAACTACTACTACTACTACTACTACTACTACTACTACTACTACTACTACTAATAATAATAATAATAATAATAATAATAATAATAATAATAATAATAATAATAATAATAATAATAATAAGCTGAAGTTCATTTAAAGTATTTACACAGAACTTTTTTATGACTGCATTTACATTATAACAATAGCTACCGGCACGCCATCAAGTGTCTGACTTTAAAGAATATCTAATTCATTGTAGGAGAGAATAAGTATTAATTGTCCAGCTGAGGCAACAATAATCTCTATACATCTACAAGAGAATGAATGAAAAATAAATTATGACAGGAGAAAAAGGAAAAAAATGGATAAACATTTTAACCTGAACGATTCTTTTGTTCGTTCTTAGTTTATTTAACGTGTCATTTATTCATCCAGAGAAGCGCTGACATTTAGGCAGTACAGACCGGCACCATCTGGCGGTAATTACAGGTACCCGCAGACAGGTGAGCCACGGGGCTTTGTTCTTACCCACACTGGCAGGTGCGTCGCTCGCCACACTATATTTGTTAACTTAACATTACCACAAATTTCGGTTCTCTGTGGAACTACAACTATTTCCTTGTTTTACTATATTTTTTCTTTAATGTCAACAAAATTAGATTAAACCTCTGAATAAACAATCTTTTTTTAACAGTTTACAATATAGTGTTACTGTACGTGTTTACCTGCATTGCCTATATACTTGTTGAATCAATGTAAATATATATGCCGATTCTATCTATCGATCTATCTATCTATCTATCTGTGACGCAATTGGTTGTTAACCCAGCCCAATACAGAATGGTTGCAGGGCCGATTCCCAACCGGGTTAGAAAATTGGTTCCTTTCTTGTACACTAGACCTTGTACACTTACCAATAAGTGAATATACTTCTGGGGCCACTTGCCAACGGTATTACAGCCCTTGGGTGGACGAGCATCCTGGACTAACCCATTAGCTCTCTGTGTGTGTGTGTGTGTGTGTGTTTATATATACAGGTATGTGTAAGTGTGTGTGTGCGTGTTTGTATGTATTTGTGAGTGCGTTTGTATGTATGTATGTATGTATGTATGTATGTATGTATGTATGTATGTATGTATGTATGTATGTATATGAAAATGGCAAGAGAAAATGATAAATGAACTAATCTTAACAACAAAAGTCACCCTAATTACTAACTCACCAGGTAAACACAGGTAACGTTTGGTCACATAACTCCTAATAACTATAATCACCAGGTAAATCCAGGAAAGAAATGACATAAAGAAGAAAACTCTACCAATAGTCTTGACCAAAACACCAGTTACACTTTTTATATGTCTGAGTACAGGTGACGGTAGCTGCAATTTCCCCCGTGTGCTCCACCTAGCGAAAACAGACAGGTGAGGGGAGTGTGTCGGTCCCTTGACGTCCACCTGTCTACCTCCCCTTTCACCTGGTTTAGCCTCACTAACTCTCTAATTAATGCGAAAACTTCCTACCCCTCTTCACCCCCAGTAATCCTTAAAAAGAAAAAAATATATAATATTCCAGAGAAGCTGTATGTGTGTGTGTGTGTGTGTGTGTGTGTGTGTGTGTGTGTGTGTGTGTGTGTTTGTGTGAACTGATTTTCTCGAAACCTTTATTTCCGGCATAAAAATGTGAAATCAGTTTTGGGAATTTTTTCATAGTTTCTCTGGGCCATTTTGATTGCTTTACATATGATTAATTAGTCGTAATTATACTTTTCACCGAATCTTTACCACCGTCCGGGCTACATTATCACGTCCTAATGTGTAAAATAGAATAATTTTGCGTGTTATTAGTCAGAGTGAGCGGAGGGAAAGACGAGGCGACAGAGCGTGCTGACAGCTGACTGTACTTGGGCTGATAATGGTTGGGCAACGTCAGCACAGGACTGGTTCGTGATAACTTCGATAGATAGATAAATTCTATAGATTTGATAGACAGATAAATAGATAGATAGATAGATAGATATGAAGTAAATTTAACATACAAGTATACATTGATTCAGAATACACTATATAGACAATGCAAGTAAACATATACAGTATATACATAAACAAGTGCAAGTATACAAACAATGTATATACCTGTCACACCTGCTGATTATAATTTCCATGTCAGTCTCTCTAGTATCAAGCTTGAAGTAAAACCTATATAAAGATGAACCAGGATTACAGTAAAGAGTTTATGGAATGCAGTTGTGAGATGAATAACCTAAAAGTGTACTGTCCTAACCTAACCTAACTCAGTAAATTAGGGTACAAATGAAGAATCCTCTAATTACCCAGAAGAATAGGAAATAAGGAATCATATCTCCTCTCATTACTCAGCAGAATAGGATACAGATGAAGGATCCTATCTCGTATGGACCAACACAGCCTATCTTGATACAGTAGGTTGTGTGTATCTGATGGGAGGAACACTATAATGGCTCGCCTCTCACCTGATACCATGCAGGAATTACTTCTACAGTATACGTGACTCTCTCTCTCTCCCTTTGTCCTACGTCTGTTGGTGATGTAGGCGTCCTTGACTCAGGTGGCGGCAGGAGCAGAGGGAGGAGGAGGAGGGGGGGAGGTTGGACTGTTTAATTAATATCTGTTTTAAAGTTTATTTCCACTGCGCATGATAATGACATTGCTTAAAAGGTTTTTAATTATTATTAACCTGTGATAGACTCAGGATTGGTTTTAGCTATTCATTTATACACGAGATAGTCAGAGATGCAATCATATCCATCCATTAGTGTGTTAAGTCATACTAAGAATTGGGGTCATTATATGAAAATTATAATATGGTACAAATATCAAAATACCTTTAACCAGATAATATAACAAACGATAGTAAGTCTCTCTCTCTCTATTAGTGTGTTCTGTCCATCTCTCATTATTCATACATGTTTGGACTTTGGCCAAGAACCGAGTCCGTCAGTCACCTGTCTAGGGGCACCGCGCAACTTTGTGTAATTTGTACTCTCGTCTGCTTCCCAAATGTCACCAGTTTGCTAGTTTGAATAAATGAACATAATTGGCTTGAGCCGGTAAAGTTCACTACAGGAGTTGTACCATTAGTTATTGCTGGCTGTGGTGCGTCATTGGCGGGTGTGACGTTTCAATGGAGGCTGTGGCTGTGGTGCAGCTGTGGCGTGTCAGTGGCGGCTGTGGTGCGTCTTTGGTGGCTGTGGCGTGTCAGTGGCGACTGTGGTGCGTCATTGGCGGGTGTGACGTTTCAATGGAGGCTGTGGCTGTGGTGCAGCTGTGGCGTGTCAGTGGCGGCTGTGGTGCGTCTTTGGTGGCTGTGGTGTGTCAGTGGCGACTGTGGTGCGTCATTAGCGGCTGTGGCGTGTCACTAATGTTGTACAAGGCATTAAGGCACGTCACACACTATTAATGATTACTTATATTTCTTAGATAAACTCACACCTGAAGCCTTAATACATTGCAATACACAGGTGGGAGAGTGTTCACATATAAAAAACCTGTCTTGATATAAACACTGTACACACACATACAACACACAAACAAGTATACATCTATACATTAAAATAATATAAAACATGTATGTGTATATAAACGTGATATATTTCTATACTTACACACACAAATACACACACACACACACCTATTGTATTAACACACACACACACACACACACACACACACACACAAACACGTATAATAAACATACTTGTGTAAAATAAAACTACTATGAAAACCTTACACCCTTGGTTCAGGATTACAAATGTCTTTTACACGAAATACATATGCCAGGTAACATTCGGCTGTCAGGTAAATTACTTTCTGCCTTGTGTATAAAACTCTTGAGGTATCTCTGTAGTGTTTCTTCTCTGCAGCTAAGTGTCATCTCTCACCAGGCCGGAAGATCAAGATTTTCTACCCTTTTCAGAATTGATTGCAAAGGCGTCAACTTTGCTTTATTGAAATCCTTGGAAAGTCTTGATTCCCTGTTGGAGGATTTGGAAACCTTTGGAGGAAGGGTGGAAGGATGGACAGTGGTAGTGAATGGGTGGACAGGAATGATAGATAGGTGGACAGGGGTGGTGGATGGGTGAATAATGATAGGTGGGTGGACAGGGGTGATGGAAAGAGGAAGAGGGGTGATGAAGGTGCAGAGAGGTGGTGGAGATGTAGATGAGGAGGGGTGGTGGAGGTGTAGATAGTGGTTGCAGAGGGGTGATGGGAGTGTAGTAGGGTGGAAAGTGGGTGGAGAGGAATTGTGTTGGGTGTGGAGAGGTGATGGGGAGGTTCAGGGGCACCTTCAGATACTTCGTTAGTCTAAGACGCCCCGTGGCATCCGTGAGCTGAATGACAAATTGGCTTGTTATTGTAGCATCAGTACCACATGACGATTGGGAAAACTCATCATATGACAGTTCAGGGGCGTCTCGTCATACACGCCGTGGGAGTCGCATATACTGACGGAGGTTTAGCAGGTCTTCAGAGGTCACAGAGGCCCTTCACAAAGACACTAATATTATCTAAAGATCTCTATAACTTCCGGCCATTCTCCAGGTGTCTCACTTATCTATGTATTTTCGTAATTATTTATACCTGGCTCTGTTATACATCCACACCACATCTATCGCTACACATCCACACCACACCTGTCACTACACACCACCACACACGTCACTACACATCCCCTCCACACCCGTAACTAACTACCACCACTACACCCACCATTATACACCCCACTACACCCATCACCACACCCCCACAACAACCATCACTATACATCTCCACCACACACCTGTCTTAATCCTCATCACTAAATCATTATCGCCAGGTGTTCAGTAATCTCCTCCTGGTTCATCTTCAAGGCGACAATATAAACCCAAAAATAAACTCACGTCGACACAAACTTTTTCCTCGTCATTTCTACGGGAATTTTTGCTCTGAGGAAAAACTCTTGTAATGACTGAGATGGAAATGGATGTTGATGATGGTGGTGGTAGTGGTGGTAGTAGGGGGGTTGGTGGTGGTAGTGGGGGGTGGTAGTAGGGTGGGAAGGGTGATGGTGGAAGTGTGTGTGTGTGTGGGGGGAGGTTAGTTGGAGGTGATGGGGTATTCTCAAAAGATCACAGCAATACAGGAAATATTTCACAGGAACATAGTAAGTATGTCACAGCAACACAGCAAGTATTTCACAGTAACACAGCAAGTATTTCACAGCAACACAGCAAATATTTCACAGCAACACAGCAAGTATTTCACAGCAACACAGTAAGTATTTCACAGCAACACAGCAAGTATTTCACAGCATCGCGGCAAATATTTCACAGCAACACAGCAAATATTTCACAGCAACACAGCAAATATTTCACAGAAACACAGCAAATATTTCACAGCAACACAGCAAATATTTCACAGAAACACAGCAAATATTTCACAGCAACACAGCAAATATTTCACAGCAACACAGCAAATATTTCCATTACTAAAACAGAAATAATCGGTAAATACAGCATCCCATCTTCTCCGCTAACAAACCTCCTAAAAAAACGAAAAAATTCTAGTTCAGAGTAGCATGAGTTTACCTTTACTGACTTGACTGATAGGATTTTTTCCGTATTTAATGGATTTTTTTTTTCAATTACGGTTTAATGGATTTAAATAAATAAATACCAGTTCTTGGACGTCATAGGATTTTGTGAGAGAGAGAGAGAGAGAGAGAGAGAGAGAGAGAGAGAGAGAGAGAGAGAGCAAAGTTCCTCTCAGCGCCACAAACCAATTACTATCAGCTTCACCTTATTTACAAACCTTACAAACGGATGGACGGAGACGGAGATAAAAACGGAGGAAGAGGGGAAAATAAAGCGATAGAAAGAGAGAAAAAACTTATAAAAGCTGGAAATAGAGGAAATGGATAATGGTTTAAACAGACAACACGAAGGAAGACGATGGTGGGTGTTGACACAGGTGAGGCAGAGCAATAATTATGGTTAGGTGGTGAAGTGTTGGCCGGGGTTCATGGGTTCAAATATGTGGAGGAGGAGGAGGAGAAGTAAGAGGAGGGGGAGGAGCAGGGGAGGGGGAGGATCAGGGGGAAGAGGAGGAAAAGAGGAAGAGAAGGACGGGGAGAGGAAGAGGAAATGATGGGGAGGAGGGGGAGGAGGGGTGAGGAGGGGGAGGAGGAGGAGGCGGAGAAACGTGAGGGGGTTATTGTGAGATAAGGGTAGTGAGACAGCGAGAGGATGGGAGCGAGGAGGATGAAGGAAGGAGGAAGAGGCAGGCGTAGGAAGGACTGAAGTAGCAGGATGTGTGTGTGTGTGTGTGTGGTAATTAATTATGTACACGTACATGAGTACAGAGCAGCTAACGTATACTGTATCTTTATATTGTCTAAGAATGCACTTACTAAAACTGCTTCCAAACATATAATACATATGTTTATAAATACATACATAAATACATGTACTTGATATTAATATGACCCTAAACCATTGTATAAAAGGTCACAGTGGGTGAGTCAGCAGCAGTAGTGAAGGGGGGAGGTAGGCGGAGGAGTTGCCAGGCAGCAGCATCTGGGCGGGCCGTGCAGCAGTACCTGGGCGAGGTGGTGGTAGTGGTGCCTCAGTGAAGCTGGGGACGCTGGGCTGACCACTCCGTTGGCCCGTCACTCCCTCACCAGCCTCGTGTGACCGGGGAACGCACTTTGCTCTACCCTCACCCGAGAACAAAAACTTTATAAGTGTAACTCAACATCATGACTAGAAAGGTTGTGTTACGTGAGTGTTTAATGATTTAATAGAGTGTTAAAGTCGAAGAAACTCAGATTAATTTTGTTTTAATATTGAAGTACTGATGTTAATTGGACTAGTGTAGTACTTTCCTACTACCACTTGCTGTGTGTGCTGTAGTGTGGCGTCTCCAGTTGACAGGTAAGAAATAAAGTCTTAAGCCTAATGTACTGCAGGAGTCACACCTTCACGCCTGGCACTGGGGAGACCTCGTGGCACTTGGTCCTGGAGTAGTGACAGTTTTCCTCACTACCTCAGCGGGTCCTGGGCTAGTGATATCTTTACGGTGTTGGTTCTTTCATTAGGGGTAATCGATGTCCATCACGTTAATGGTGTGAACGGCCTCACCCTTACCCTCTCACAGTATGAGCTAACTAATACAACCGTAGCCTAAGATAAACACTACCAAAGGTGTTAAAATTATATATGTTAACAAAATGAGGATTCTTCAACTATGGCATTTTTGCGTTACATGAGGAAGTAATATAATTGTGCTTCCGTTTTCTAATTGTTACCTGTACATTATAATGAATCACACGTCCTCTCTAAATTTTAACGCACACACACACACACACTCATAAACCCGTCTGTATGTAATTGTATATTTCATTGTTATATTGCATTACGGTATGTATATTACTCATTGTTATGCTTATATTTTTATTATTATATTTCTGAAGATGATTTTTTTCTCTGTATAGCAACAATAACACTGAGAATCTCACCTGTAAGCGACAAAAGATACAGAGGAACATAACAAATGACAGACGATGATTCAGACCAAGTGTAAAAATTCTACTGAGGGTGACTAGTGTGGGACCCAGGCCACTCTGTCCTTACTGGCTCCTGGTTGATAAATTCTTCTGATGTATTAGTGATGACCACCCACATAATGATGCTCCCCTGTGTGGTGGTGGTGTTGAAAGTGATGGTGGTGATAGTTGTGATTTTGGTGGTGGTAGTTGTGATTTTGGTGGTGGTAGTGGTGATGGTGGTAATGGTAGTGTTGATGAACGTAATAATAGTGGTGATCTTGTATTACATATTGATATTTCTTGGTACAATAATTTTTTTGTGTGTGTGTGTGTGTTTCTTGTGTAGAGGATTCTTCTTCCCTCTTGAGTCACCGACACTTTCTGCTCGACTTTATTATTACAGTATAGAGCCTCTGGACCGTCGATTAAACACGCAGTAACATTGAATCTATTAGTCGAGACAGTGAATAAGATACGTTTATGGAGACTGATTCTTAGAGGTGTCTTGCTAGGGTCAATCTCTTACTCATGTGTCGTGGCTAATTGATAAAGTATGTGTCTTTCTTAGTGTGTGGATAATATGTCTTTAGGTTAAATATTGTACGCGATGTCTTTATAATCTTTGTCGAGTTGTCATGTTTTGGTCCCTCAATGTGGTAATGTATACTCGCCTCTATACCGTATTTTATTTTAGTTTTTTATATATGATATGATATAAAGTGTCTGAAGTTGTAGTTAAAAAAAATCGCTATCTATGTGTGTGTGTGTTGAGCCACTCGACCGTTGCGTCACACATAGATGCGAAAAAGTGTAACCACTCCCATCTGTTTCTGTGTTTACTGTCAACTAACTCTCAGGAATGATGTTTTTGATAAGTGAATAATTTTTTTTGGTAGCGTACCAGCGTAACTCTAACATGGCAAATATCTTCATAGTCACATTTTTAGTCAATAATTATCAACCAGAAACCTCGTCTTGAAAACTGCGTCACGGTGTTCACAATAACTACTTAGTACAGAAGCCACAGGCGTCACTATCTCATGCTGGTAACTGATTCCATTGTTCACACAGTTACCAAAATCTTAACACGGATGGACTTTTTATGAACGTCCGCCGGGGTGATGCCAAGAGGAGTCTCATAACCTTGAGTCAACGTAAATCATAAAATTAAAGTCACACACACACACACACACACACACACACACACACACACACACACACACACACACACACACTCTCTCTCTCTCTCTCTCTCTCTCTCTCTCTCTCTCTCTCTCTCTCTCTCTCTCCACGTTGACTCAGGAGAATTTTAAGGTAAGGCAGCAGACAACAATATATCCAAGGAATTAAAAGAATCCTACAAGTTAGATTAAAAACTCCACGACACACACACACCTGAGTCCTTATGATGCAGGAGTCCCCAGTACACGTCCCTCAGGAGACGCTAAACATCTTCCCAAGTTCTGTGAGTAGTGATAAATTTATAACATCAGTTGTGTGTGTGTGTGTGTGTATGTTTTGGAACGTCACACTCCTTCCCTTGTGGTGTGAACTCAGTAAACGAAGGATTTGATTATCTTTACACCTGGTGAGTTCCTCTCTCTCCTCCCTCGACCACTACCTGTGTATATCATCTGGTACACTTCCTCATATCAACTTTTTTTTTAAATTCCAAAAGTTATTTATTAGTGTTTTTTTTATACTATTTCTTTCTTAGTTAATTTAAAACTCGTAATAATTATCAGCATATTGTTTTAGTAAATCACCAAAACAGAAACAATTATAAAATAAAACCGATGAACCATTAAAAAACAACAACACACAAACCACCTTTAACTTACAAAAGATTCAAGAAAAAACAACACACTGAAACCCCACCAGTTTGAAGCCCGTCCGGAAAATTGGGGGTTGGAGAGGGAGGGAGGGACACGCCACACTATCTGCCTAACTGAAGGAAACTGTGTTAGCCCGGACAAACAAAACACATGAAATTTAAATCTGTACACCCCACAAAAGGCAGGACACGCCAAAGTCTTGCATATTCAGGTATACACTGCAATATATTCATCTAATTCAATTTTGGACGAAAGGCAGATGGTAGGTAGAGAGAACAGGTTAGAACAAAACTGCTGTCAGTGAGAGGGAGTGAGTGAGAGGGAGGGAGTGAGAGGGAGGGAGTGAGAGGGAGAGTTTTAACCATTTTAACCTGATATTGATATGTTAGGAAAAATACGTGCTGGGTTGAGGAAGACCAAGTTATGCTAGATTACCCATAGCCATCTATTTAAAGCCATTTTCTGACACCCATTTACTGATAGACATTTACTGATACCCATTCTCCCATAGCCATTTACTGGTAGCCATTTATTGATAACCATTTACTGACAACTATTAATGTAATCTACTAATACATAATTTAACCATTTGAGTCATCTACAAAATTAACCCCCTAGCTTACTTCCACCTTAAGAATAAACTAACCTAATCTAACATAATCAAAACTAACCTAACCTTAACATAATCTAACTTTAACCTAACCTATCCTAATCTAATCTAACCTAACCTAACCTACTCAAAACTAACCTAACCTTAACCTAATCTTACATCAACTAATCTAACCCACCTTAATTCCTGGAGGTAGCGTGAAGTGTTTCATCACCAGGAGAAATAAGCTGTGGGAGGGAGGCTATTCTTCAGGTGATCCAACCATTCTATAAGACACTGAACACTGATACACCACAACTTACTCAGTTCATTCATCACAGTGATCCACAACACCTGACAGTGATCCAACACACCTGCCAGTGATCCACAACACCTGACAGTGATCCACAACACCTGACAGTGATCCACAATACCTGACAGTGATCCACAACACCTGACAGTGATCCACAATACCTGACAGTGATCCACAGTACCTGACAGTGAACCACAGCATCTGACAGTGATCCACAAGACCTGACAGTGATCCACAACACCTGACAGTGATCCACAACACCTGACAGTGACCCACAACACCTGACAGTGATCCACAATACCTGACAGTGATCCACAACACCTGACAGTGATCCACAGTACCTGATAGTGAACCACAGCATCTGACAGTGATCCACAAGATCTGACAGTGATCCACAACACTTGACAGTGATCCACAGTACCTGACAGTGATCCACAGTACCTGACAGTGATCCACAGTGCCTGACAGTGATCCACAGTATCTGACAGCGATCCACAGTACCTGACATTGATCCACAACACCTGAGTGATCCATAGTATCTAACAGTGATCCACAACATCTGACAGTGATCCATAACACCTGACAGTGATCCACAACACCTGACAGTGATCCACAGTACCTAACAGTGATCCACAGTACCCGACAGTGATCCACAACACCTGACAGTGATCCACAACACCTGGCAGTGATCCACAGTACCTGACAGTGATCCACAGTACCTGACAGTGATCCACAACACCTGACAGTGATCCACAACACCTGACAGTGATCCACAGTACCTGACAGTGATCCACAACACCTGACAGTGATCCACAGTACCTGACAGTGATCCACAACACCTGACAGTGATCCACAACACCTGACAGTGATTCATAACACCTGACAGTGATTCACAACACCTGACAGTGATCCACAGTACCTGACAGTGATCCACAACACCTGACAGTGATCCACAGTACCTGACAGTGATCCACAGTGCCTTACTCTGTTGTGGTAATATAAATAGAATCATTTGTTCGGGTTTAGAGCGGCAGCGTCTGGGGGCTGGAGGGAATGTAACCATTTCTCATAAGATTTCATGATCGTCTTATTTCCGGCCAAGGAATTTACCTCCCGTGTGGTGGAAACTGTCTCGCTGTCTCCTGTGTCTCGCTGTCTCCTGTGTCTCGCTGTCTCTGGTGTCTCGCTGTCTCCTGTGTCTCGCTGTCTCTTGTGTCGCGCTGTCTCTTATGTCTCGCTGTCTCCTATGTCTCACGGTCTCCTGTGTCTCACTGTCTCCTGTGTCTCACTGTCTCCTGTGTTTCGCTGTCTCCTGTGTCTCGCTGTCTCCCGTATCTCCCTGTCTCCTGTTCTCACTCTCTCTTGCCTCTCGCTATCTCCTTCATCTCTCTATCTCCTGCCTCTCAGTATATCCTGCCTCTCGCTATCTCCCGCCTCTCGTTATCGCCTGCCTCTCGCAATCTCCTGCTTCTTGCAATCTCCTGCCTCTCGTTATCTCCTGCCATCTCGCTGTTCACCGCCTCTCGCTATCTCCCGCCTCTCGTTATCTCCTGCCTCTCGCAATCTCCTGCTTCTTGCAATCTCCCGCCTCTCGTTATCGCCTGCCTCTCGCAATCTCCTGCTTCTTGCAATCTCCTGCCTCTCGTTAT